TATATATATTAAGGCATTTTAAACCCTTCCCACACTCTTGCAATATTTTAAACAATGTTTCTAAACTCTAAATGCTCTAAAAGAGCACAGAATGTCATGATTTCAGCTCCCTGCCTCCTCTGCTCTTTCCCACCTGCAAGTGCTCTTGGCCACGCCCACTTCTCAGCTCAGCACGTTTTACAGCTGATCAGCTGCAGCAGGAAGTTTACCCTGCAGCAGTAAGGGCTGCACAAAGGTGCAGCAGGTGCTAAATAATTTAAAATAATTTATTTTAAATACAAATTCCATGTGGATCGTGCGGCTCATCCATCAATCAGCCAATTGTGTGTCATGTCCTATCTTGTTTTGAAAAACTGACCAACCCCCCCCCCCCAACCCCCCCCCCCCCAAAACAAACAAACAAACAAACAAACAAAAAGAAAACAGAATATAAAACCATTTTCCTCACAGTAACAATACACGTATGTTGAGGTGACATGCTCAAAAAATAAAGAAAAATAAGCTGAAATGAAAGTGCAGCTAGGCTTGTCACGATAAATTTTGCTGGGTAATTGTCTCAGACATTATTGCGATAAACGATAATATTGTTTGAAATTTGACAATAATTAGTAATTATTGTTAATTTAAAAAGAAATGCTCGTTAATTTGTTATGTGTGTAGTACCTTTTATCTATCACTGGATGGCAGAATAAGACTGAACCGAAGGATGGATAGTGAGGGAGCGAGCAGCATCTCTAAGAAAAATGGGAGGGAGGCCCATTGACGTGACATGAGCTGTCTCTCTTCGGTTCTCAAAATGGCGGACACTGTGTGGTTTGAGCTCTTTAGCATAGCACTTGTCACACAAAGTCTTTAATAAAAAATAAAAAAAAATCAGTAAACAAGTTCTCAGCTTCTTTTTGAATAGAAAAAGTTTTTACACGAAGGCACGGGTTTCAACTGTGAATTTTGGAGCTTTGACAAGACGGAGGTTTTTTCCCCCCCGAGGTCGGCCTGTTAGCTTAGCTTCTCAGCTTAGTTTCTCAGCTTAGCTGCTTTTAACGATCCAAAAATGTGATTTTGGACAGTTAAAATGGATTTTAAAGCGAAAAGAGAAAGGGAGGGGTCAGTGAAGAGCACCAGAGTTGAACCTTTTGTCATCCAGTGTCTTCAGTAGAAAGAGAAACGAAGAAACGATAAAGCCGATAAATGAAAATGAGGGACATAATTTGCATTTATCATGCGATTAATTAATTTATCGTTTATTGCGACAGGCCTAAGTGCAGCCCACCGCTGTTCGCACCTGAAACGACTACTTAATTTCTGTTTTTCACACAGAGGGAAAAACAACATCAATATGTTTTAATGACGGAAAGGCAAACATCTGCTTCTCACATAACAAATGTATCGTCATCACTTTTGATGAGTTCACCAACCTCTTCTGAATGTCATGAGGACAAAAACAACACAAGAAAGACAGAGGGTTGGGAGAGTGTGGAAAAAGACAAAGTGGTAGAGTCATTTAGTGGGCTGGGGGGTTTCAGGGGATTCTACTAATGCAGGAGTCGTCCTATAGGGGAAGGAGCCAGGCCATAAATTTCCCGTGCAGAAGACAGGTTGGCCCTGCAGTGAATTCTCTCAGCAGGTAGGCTTGTGCAGCTCTCAAGACATCCAGCCATGTTAAAAGCATTGTGATCCTAGCAGGAGATCAACATTCCCAGAGAAAAAAAAAAAATGAGGAGGGAAAAAAAAGGAAGCCATCTTGATTGGTTTAGTTAGGCAGAAAAGCACATTAGTCCTACGCACGCATAATTAAGAATTTGGATAAAAATAGAAATAGCTAAACTCATTCAAATTTTCAAATCAAACTTTTGTCTTTATTAATTATTGTGTGAACAATGATTTACTTTTTTTTTTTTTTTTTACTTCTGCTCTGACTCAGAGTAACATAAACCTTTGACTAAGTAAACCATTTTTACATTTATTTGACCTGTTGCTTCTCCTACTTGCTTCAGCTGTATAAAGTTATGCTCAGGAATACTTATATAAAAAAGTTTTAATTGAAACAGTTTAACAAGTTTAATTAAAAAAAAAAAAAAAGATAAACACAAAGATGACTTAAACAGCCCACATTACACAAATGTTTAAATTTGCTGTCCACCTTAAATGATAAAAAATATAAAATAGTGTTATGGATTGAGCTTTGCATTTCGATTTCTGTACGGTCAAACTACAGAGAAACTTGGCATCAGGCAGTTTCATTTCACACAGACTTGCAGGCTGTTTCACGAACTCGCCTGTGTGTCAGGATCTCAGGTTGCAGATCTCTCACCGGTCACCAGTCCCACACAGAGAAGCCCACAGTTAGGATGGAGGTAGAAGGGAGCAGTGACACTGTCCTGGGCTACTGATAAAGGGCTAAGGTTACATGGCATTTCTCCCCCGCGTCTAACCACTCATCACCACTAAACGCCTTTCATCTCAGCTAATAGCTCCCACGGGAAAGAGCAAAAAGTGCCATGAAGGCACTGGATATTGTTTAGAAAGATCCAGGGCCTATATGACCGGTCAAATCAGGTTCTCATTTTTCATGTAGGCCCTGATGGCGTCGATTCAAACTAATTCTTGTTGAAACTCACAGGTAAAGGGTTAAACTGCTGGTCCACGAGGTGTGTGTATCCGTAGTCAAACAACGAGTGACGCAAAACCACATCGATGCCTTGCACAGCTGCCACACCCAGTGTGTTCATCCACCTGAAATATATGTAAATATGGCAAATATTAGAAACTCAGATGATACCTGTAACAGTAAACATCAGCCGTTTTCTGCAGCAGTTTGTTTTATTTTTGGAGGACAGTACTTACAGAAAGCTGGCAGCGTATGTGTCAGAGAGGTTATTGATGCCTCCTGTCCATGCTGGGCCCAAACCACCAAGCCACACCTTCTTGCCCGGAGTGTGTGTGCTCACAACCTGCAACGAGGGATGCAGATACAGGGTATGTGAACTAAACACATTTAAAAATCCGTTATGGCAGGCTTGTTACAGTTTTTACACTCAGGCCATTTGAATCACAGCAGGACCTCAAATTTGAGGTGTAAAAATCGTATCCGACACCGGATGATATCAATGATCCTACAGCTTACTGGAGATTAATTAGAGCTGAGAACAAAACACCGAGCAACTTGTAATGTAAAAAATCAAAGTGCAAAATGAATGCGAGAGTTGGCTTCAAGTGTACAACTCCCTGTGCAGCAACGACGGTAAAATCTGGTAATTTTCCATCTGACATGGAGAAAAGCACGAGGATCCATACAGAATAAGTGTAGATATATACAAAACAGATATTAAAAACTAGATTCACAAAAAACTGTGAGAAGAGTGATAATAAAATGAAAAAAATGTACAAATAAATCTATATTCTTTTTTGCTGGATTAATAAAGCAGTGTGCTTGCTTTGTTGTCTTGATAAAATCGTGTCCATGTGCAAAAAAACTGATTTTTACACGTTTTTATGCATTTTACAATAGAATTGAAATTTAGACAGTCTCTAAAGTATTTATTTGCATTCAAATTATGTATTTTTGTTAGGGATGCACGATATTATCGGTATGGTATTGGTATCGGCTGGTATTAGCGATAAAGTTAAATATTGGACATTCCATCAACATAACTCACTGATAAAAAAGGCGCCGTTTTAATATAAAAAAAAAACCTGTCGAGTATATCTATTAATGCACTACTTACGCACTTTTTACTTTTCACTTGTGAACAGGTTGAGTTTAGATTTGTGAAAATGTACAAGTTTGCACTGTTTGAGTGCATTGTGCTAGTAATGAATAAATTTGACATTAATCATAATCCAACTTGAAGTGTTACATCATTTTCAGCCCCCTTTTTGGCATCTGCATTTGGTAGCAGGTCAAATTGACAAAGACCATGCAGAATAATGTAGTATTTTAATTCTCCAGCAGAGAAAGCCATGTAGTCTCTGTAAGTAGGCCTAGGAAAATAAATATCGGTATCAGTTATCGGGCAAATACGTTTTAACATATCAGCATATCGGCCAAAAATACAATATCGTCCATCCCTAATTTTTGTGTCCCAACTTGTTAAACTTAGCAAAGCAAGCTTACTTTTATTGACAGCTAAAATAAATCAGGCCGGAAAAAAACAATCACTGACAAAACTAAAACCAAACTGTACCAATTGAATGCAAATATATAAAAAAAAAAATCAATAAGGAAAAACAAGTATAAAACATTGACAAGCCCCGTTAAGACCTAAAAATACAAATACGGATTAAAAAAATCCCAAAACAAAAGAAAAATCGTTTAAACTACAATATTAGAACATTTTAAATTATCTCTTTTTCCCAACATTAAACTAAAACGATGAATTACAGGTTCAGTTAAATCAAACAAATGCTGTGTTTATTGCTTTCATGTACATTACTGTAACTATTATTGAACAATAAAGTAAATGTAAAAAAATAGGACAGTATTCCGATAAAAATGCAAAAAAACTAGTTTTTCATATTTTGCTTAATTCAATCTCAAATTCTAAACGCCCACTTTCTTTAGTACCCCTGACATGCATATTTTGACTAAATACCTGTCTTTTATAAGCCAAAGTTTGTCGGTGTACTCCATTGACCTGAGCTGTAATCCTGGTTAGATCCACCTCTTGAAACATTTGACTACTCTGAGTGCTGCTGTTGAAAATCGTTGCTCCTTCCCCCCCGAGGCTCTTTGATGCTGTTTGGTTTATACAAATTATCAAGTCTCTGCAGCTTGGAAGATTTAATCCCTTCGCTCTGGGGTGTCACTCTTTTGGTTAGCAAATGCGGCTTCTTGACCACAAAGACAATTTTATAGCTGGATAATCCTTAACTTTGCAATAGAAAGTAAAATTATTTTCATGATTAACAAAACCATTTACCCCCTTATTCTCCCAATGAATCTAAAATTCAATTTAATTTGAAATATCCAGCTCACCAATTTAAAATACAGCCCATTTATTAAAGAAAAATAATAATAATAATGCAGTACTGTGATTTGCATAGGATACAAACTACTGTTCTACACACAGAGAAAATAATTAGGATTCAAATAAACTGAAGTACCTTGGAAACTTTATTTATCTGTTCGGTCAATGTGTCCATAAGACGAGTTTTTAGGAAATCCTCTGCTCTGTTTACTCTCCCATCCATGTAATAACTGAAACAGAAATGCAGAAGAAACATTGTGAGAGAAACACTGCACATTTATTACAAAATGAGCAAGAAACATATTTTAATGACCGAGCTCATATTGGTAATGCATCTGCTTCAAGTAATCAAGTGACCATGCTTTATTAATGTAAACCAGCCTGCAGCAATAGGTTTCATATTCAAAGTTAAATGGTTAAAACTATATTAAAAATCTACATTATAACGTTATCTTACATTGTGCCACACATAAAAGTTGCGTAGCTTTATGGTGAAACATTTATTCATCAAATTAATCCCAGAAAACCCTTTGCAATAAATGTAAACAAAACGTAGCACATTTGTTTTAATAGCAAGCAGATAATTATGCTATCTCTTGTCCCCTCGTTAGTAAAGACATGGTCTAATATTTGATAATTAAATACACAAAATAAGTGTAAAACATTTAAACTGTGCACAACTTCACAAATGCAGCGACAGCACAGAATTCATACCACAACTGTTGCACTTCATTATATATTGCATTTTAAAGCCCAGTCCATAAAGTGTAAAGCTCACAGATCTAGAGATGTTTTAAACAGTATGTCAACTCAATTTACTTTTCTAAACAGAAACTGACATTCATTTTTGTCTTAAGAGTTTTTACAGTCCAATTATATGTCAAAAGCGTGGATTGCAAAAGAGACAAACTCTAAGTGCAACACTTTATACCGAGGATGAACAATCCAGGAATCCATCTGCAACAGTTTTCTGTGCAGGAGCGATAAAAGACTCGAAGAGAAGGAAAAAAAAAAATGATAATGAGAGATGATGTTCAGATAACACAAGGAGACAAGATTTTGTTGATTGCTAAAGCCAGAGATTTGTAAAAGATCACCCCGTGGGCTGACTAAAACCAACATCAGCTGCAAGAGTTTTAAAAGATGAAAAACGAGAGAGCGACGACAACTCTGTGGTTCATGCTTCAGGTACAATAAAGCTGCATTAACATCCTATTTGCACAACAAAGGATAACTAAAGGTGCTCAGAGCTCTCTGAGGTTGACAATAATTATCTTTTTGTTTGCACTCGCAGTGCCACAGAAATACTGGGTTGTGCCACAGCTAGCCGACAATCACTGGTTATGTGTACGTGCATACAGTGTGCGCATGACATTCATCAGCAACAACACAAGACACACAACTGGACCTGTATGTTTCTTGTTAGCGCTAAGAGGCTAAAACACCTGTGGAGAGTTGTACTTTATCAACCACTGAGATAGAGAAGATGCATAAACAAAAGAGAACACTAAGTGCCTTCAACTTGAGCTATTTTATAGTTTTTATTTGCTCAAACACAGCCAGGACCTGAGTAACGGTTCACGTGTCTCTGCATTGCTCCGTTTTGTTCAGTGCAAGTTAAACTTCTTCAGTTTGAAATGATCTCGTTTAAGATGAATGTTGAAATGAGGAAGGTGCTGGTCCAATTCAATTCAGTTTGTTTATATAGCGCCAAGTCACAACAGACGTCATCTCAGGGCACCGAACAGAAACATTCATATGTAAAAATAAGTCAACAGAAACATTTATATATGAAAATAATAATTTAGCACTATTTATCTGAGGAGCAGACTGCTTTGACTTTAACGCCATCATAGAACTCTCATCACAATTTTAACATTTTTTTAATACATATAATATGAAAAATAGTACAAATCTAAAAAAAACATCTAATTAGCAACAACAAAAAAGTACAAATACAAAATAACGTCTCATTAACAAAAAAATAAATAAAAATACAGTAGTCCCTTGTTTATCGTGGGGGATCCATACCCTGAAGACCTGCGATAAGTGAAAAATCTTGAAGTAGGAATAGTGGTACAAGTAGTAAGTAGTATTTTATTTTAGCATATATATATATTTGTGTTAGGGATGTAACGGTACGCTAAAAATCACATTTCGGTTCGGTTAAGTTTCAAGGGGGGGTTCGGTTCGGTTAATTTTCGGTACAAAAAAGGCCAAAACGAAGACTTACAAAATGTTTATTTTGAAAATATGCCAAGTAAACAATACGTTTGTATAAAAATAAATAAAAGCGACCCATTTGGATGATATTTTAAATAAACGGCACTCTTTACAATAAATAAACTATACTAACAATAATAAAAATATTAATAAATACAATAACAGTCAGAACCAGAGCAATAGACTGTTTACAATGTAACTAATCAAGTTTTGAAGTTTTTGGCCAAAAAGACCAACTTGTCCACATTTTCTGCCAAAAGCACAGATCTAGTTGCAGTGAATATCTCCAGCGGTGGAGAAAACCGCTCACTAGCAACAGTAGCAGGAATAGAGCTTTGCTAATTTTGCCGTGTGGATGTATTTGGCCTCATTACTCACAACCTCTTCTTGGACCTGCTCCAAAAGGGACTTGGGAAGTATCCCACCTGTCCCTGGAAAATTTCAAAGAGTTCAGTCATCACAGACTTCTCAGCTGGAGGTGATCAGGTGAATGATTTTCCTGAAGAGGAACTCAATGACATCCTAAGACTGCAACAACACAAAGAGGTAAACAATAGCATTGAGAATAAGATTATAATAATTTTAAAAAAGTTAATAATCAGATAATAATAAAATAATATTACTTCTTCTTGAACGGCCATCATTTCTGTTATGAGGTGGTTGAATCTCTCGCTCATCATCATCAGGACAGGACTCTAATCTGGGCTCCAGGGCTTGTTGACAATATCATCTTTAAGCTTTTTCATAAAGTGCTGACAAACTTTTTGGCTTAAGTGTTGACGTGATGGCATGTCGTAGACAGTGGGGCTCAATAACTTTAAAGCTGGCGCGTCACAACAGAATTCAGACGTAGATTCAGAGCTTTAAAAACTTCAACAGCTTGTGTTATTGCTTTGGACCGATCTGATTTATCTGATAAAGGTTGTTTAAATGCTGCTGCCATCGGTCTTTGCACAAACCAAGCTGCGATTGTGTAGAAGAGACGTTCACATTCGGATGATGTCGTTTCAAGTGCGTTAACAAGTTAGACGTGTTGCCTGCTGCAGATCCAATCTTCGTGAAACAACGTCGACACACAGCTTTGGATTTGTTCACTTGTCTTTTAACAAGAAAGACATTATGCTCCCACACAGGAGACTGCAACAAGATGCTAGGCTGCTAATGCTGCAAGATTATGCAACAATAAACAGTGCCATGCTGAAACACGCTTAGGAACTTTAGTTCGGCGGCACATAATTTCTCGTTAATACAGTGCCTTGCGAAAGTATTTGGCCCCCTTGAACTTTTCAACCTTTTGCCACATTTCAGGCTTCAAACATAAAGACATAACATTTTTATTTTTTGTGAAGAATCATCAACAAGTGGGACACAATCGTGAAGTGGAATGAAATTTATTGGATGTGTCAAACTTTAACAAATAAAAAACTGGAAAGTGGGGCGTGCAATATTATTCGGCCCCCTTGCGTTAATACTTTGTTGCGCCGCCTTTTGCTGCAGTTCCAGCTGCAAGTCTCTTGGGGTATGTCTCTATCAGTTTTTCACATGGAGACACTGAAATTCTTGCCCTTTCTTTCTTGCAAAACAGCTCGAGCTCAGTGAGGTTGGATGGAGAGCGTTTGGTCTGGACTTTGACTTGGCCATTCCAACACCTGGATACGTTTATTTGTGAACCATTCCATTGTAGATTTGGCTTTATGTTTTGGATCATTGTCTTGTTGGAAGATAAATCTCCGTCCCAGTCTCAGGTCTCTTGCAGACTCAAACGGGTTTTCTTCCAGAATGGTTCTGTATTTGGTCCCATCCATCTTCCCATCAATTCTGACCATCTTCCCTGTCGCTGCTGATGAAAAGCAGGCCCAAACCATGATGCTGCCACCACCATGTTTGACAGTGGGGATGGTGTGTTCAGGGTGATGAGCTGTGTTGCTTTTACGCCAAACATATCGTTTTGCATTGTGGCCAAACGGTTCGATTTTGGTTTCATGTGACCAGAGCACCTTCTTCCACATGTTTGGTGTGTCTCCCAGGTGCTTGTGACAAACTTTAAATGACACTTTTTATGGATATCTTTGAGAAATGGCTTTCTTCTTGCCACACTTCCATAAAGGCTAGATTTGTGCAGTGTACGACTGATTGTTGTCCTATGGACAGACTCTCCCACCTCAGCTGTAGATCTCTGCAGTTCATCCAGAGTGATCATGGGCCTCTTGGCTGCATCTCTAATCAGTCTTCTCCTTGTTCGAGATGAAGGTTTAGAGGGACGGCCGGGTCTTGGTAGATTTGCAGTGGTCTGATACTCCTTCCATTTCAATATGATTGCTTGCACAGTGCTCCTTGGGATGTTTAAAGCTTGGGAAATCTTTTTGTATCCAAAACCGGCTTTAAACTTCTCCACAACAGTATCTCGGACCTGCCTGGTATATTCCTTGGTCTTCATGATGCTCTCTGCGCTTTGAACAGAACCCTGAGACTATCACAGAGCAGGTGCATTTATACGGAGACTTGATTACACACAGGTGGATTGTATTTATCATCATCAGTCATTTGGGACAACATTGGATCATTCATAGATCCTCACTGAACTTCTGGAGTGAGTTTGCTGCACTGAAAGTAAAGGGGCCGAATAATATTTCACGCCCCACTTTTCAGTTTATTTGTTAAAAAAGTTTGACACAGCCAATAAATTTCATTCCACTTCACGATTGTGTCCCACTTGTTGTTGATTCTTCACAAAAAATAAAATTTTTATATCTTTATGTTTGAAGCCTGAAATGTGGCAAAAGGTTGAAAAGTTTAAGGGGGCCGAATACTTTCGCAAGGCACTGTAAAATTTTATGAGTGAAAAAATAACCGAAACGGTACGCACGTGGACCGAACCGAACATGTTGTACTGAAATGGTTCAATACACCCACGTGTACCGTTATACCACTACTATATATATATATATATATATATATATATATATATATATAATGTTTCTAAACTCTAAATGCTGTAAAAGAGCAC